ATTACATCGATGCAATGTATATAATCTTATTAATTTACTGACATTATCTTGTAGATGTTTATTTGATCGGTCCAAATAAGTCATGACTAGTAGGTCATATTAATATGTATCGAATAAATTGAAAATAATTAGGTTACTAGCAACTACGATTTTAGTTATTAATTTATTATGATAAATATCATTACTTAAACTATTGATTAACTATTAATAATGTAGAATATTTCAGAATTTTAAATACAAATCTCAAGACAGTTCCCAGTGTATGGAGTGAAAATTTGGAGGAAGCAAAAAAGCAATCATTCACAAGATATGGGTGTTTACTAACAGTTATCTAGGCAAAATACTCCAGACCCGCTGTCCGAGCAGCATCATCAACAACTTACTGTAGACTACATTCCAGCGGGAGAAGAAATCAGGAAATGGTGCTGGAGAGCTGGATGGGTTACACATTGAAGAAAGCACTCAACTGCCTCACAAGACAAGCCCTAACGTGGAATTCTCAAGACAAAGGAAAAGATGAAGTCCAGAGAACACATTACACCGAGAAATGGAGGCAGACATGAAAAGAATGATTAACAATCGGAAAGAACTGAAACAGAAGGCTGGCGACAGATTAAGTTGGAGAATGATGGTCGGCGAACTATGCTCCATTGTGGGTAATAAGCGTAAACATAAAAACAAATGTAGAATATTTTTTAGAGAATCCCTCCTATCACAACCTAACTCAAAGTATACGAAATTCTAACTAGCTTCTTATGCCTTACAAGACTACAATAAATCAGATATAAAGAAATTAAAGAATCAGAAAGTCATTAACAAACTTTTATGGAATAATTTATTTCAGATAATTAAACTTCAGATTGAATACAAAACTATCAGAAAAACTGGCTTTATATATATTAAACAACTATGAAATATAAAAGTAAATGTCCAAGAGTATATGAAATAACAATAAAGTTTTGACCATTCAAATATTATTTGTTTAACTTTACAAATGTAAAAAGTTTAACGAAATACTCAAATTATATGAAATGAGGCTGTTACATACAAATAAACTGAACTGAAGACTAATAGTAACAACAACGAGACTATAATTAGTGAAACTATACAATAGGAAAACATTAACTATTATCTGATATAACTGGAAAGAAATTGCCTATTATGGTCGATTTCTCTAACATAGTAGCAGATAAAAGCTGTCGAACTGAAATGTGCCAAAAGATGATTCTGTATATATATATATATATATATATATATATATATATATATATATATATATATATATATTAAAGGTCAATCTTAAACATTTAAGCTGCTTAATAAATGGTTTTGCTTAAAATTTAAAAACTTCTCTAGAACTATATATATATATTATACTGATTGATAAATTTTGTCATTTGTTTGTTCGCTATCCGCTAAATGCAGTAATATTGAACTTTTAATATTATCTAAATGATCTTTCATCCAGCTATATTGAAAATCTAAAGTGACCTTTTTTCGATTTAACCTACGTATCAGACACTGACAGAAAATATATATTCAAATAAATGTATAAAAATGTCATGTCTGAACAGCTTATCCTAGACTAGAATTAATAGCACACAAAGAAAAGTAAAAAAAGTTGTTAGTCTACGACAAACTTTTCTTGTCAATAATCGTTCTTACAACAAAATTTCCTCGACCCTAAATGGACATAATTCTCAATAAACTGTTCAAACAATGCCGGCCCAGTGGTCGAATGGTGAGGCGTTCGCGCACAATACCGAAGGTCTCGGGTTCGAATCCTGCGGGTAGCAGGAGTCGTGGATGCTCACTGATGATGAGTCCCATACCAGGACGAAACGGCCGTTCAGTGCTTCCAGGTTGCTAATGGTGGTCTAAAAATGATTGATTGATGATTGCAAATGTGTAAAAACACTAATCTCTATAATTCTAATTGAAAATAATTTTTTAGCATATAATCACAATGAATAGATGCATTTCTAACTAGTCATTTGTTTTTTTCATAATATTACAGAGTTTCTTGTTATTTTAATGGAATAATTTTTTATACTACTAACAGTAGTTAATTTGTTTTGAATAGTTTTACCGTAAAGATTTCAAAGATGGAAATGTCACTATTTATGTAATTTCCCTTTATTATCTTGTAAATATATGAATAGAGTTGAGTTAGAAAATGTTCTGCTTAGTGTTTAGTTAGATTTCATTTCTATACACTACGAAATCTTTTAAGGTTGAAGGATTGGTGACAATCACCAGAACGCCTTAGATTTTAGTTCCATACAAAGCCGTATCTTCAGTCTCTAGGCAAGTGATTCTCTTTCTCTTAGATTCATGCACTTACTGCTCGGTTTTATATTTGAGCTTCTCTAGGCTAACCTGCCTTACGACAATCATGTTCATGTTAATTGAACATAATGTTGGATGAACTATTGTAATTGAATTCTATATATTTTGACTGTTTCTTGAATTACTGAATATCTTTTGCACTTTGAAATCATGAATAAATCATGGTTAGACCACCATTAGTGACCTGGAAGCGCTGAACATCTGTTTCGTAGTGGTATGGGACTCATCAGGATCGAGCATTCACGACTCCTGCTTCTTGCAGGGCTCGAACCCAGGATCTTTGTTCTTTTGTGCGAATGCCTAACCTCTACACCACTGTGCAGGCATCCGATGATGTTATTGTCTAACCCAGCCCAATCTATAAATTTCATGCGACTTCACCCATCTGCCTTCGGTAGCTGCTGCTTACACCCGACAGGGTTGAACTCCACTAGTCATGTGTTTTCACTAAAACTCCAAGAATTTCCTTACGAAGCTAGTCACTAGTGAGCACATTCTACGATTCTTAAATTAGAGCTATGGCGATCATTGTTTTTACACATTTTAATCATGTTTCAGACTTTAGGCGTTCGTGCAAAAGAACAGAGATCCTTGGTTCGAATCCTGAAAGTAGCAGGATTCGTGGATTCTCACTACTGATAAGTCCCATACCACTACGAAACAGCTGTCCAGCGCTTCCAGGTTTCTAATGGTGGTCTAACGATGATTGATTCATGAAACCAAAGTGTAAAAACAGTAATCCCCATAACTCTAACTGAAAAATACTGAATATCTATTTTTTTGATACTGATGTTTATAACTGTTTTAATCTATACTCATCTATCCTGATAGGTGATTTATGCTTTCAGACATTTAACTCTATTGTACTGATAATAATTAAAGTCTGAATAATGCTGAATAATGACTTCAAATTTAACCTATCTGAATTAGTTTACATATCAACAAAATCTGGAATTATTTAATAGCTTATGTAATCATCACTTCAAATTTCGTCATAATGGAGTGTTCTTTTTGTTGTCACCATTCAAGCGGAATAAGTTTCTTAATGACTTATTATATTTTATTTCGTAAATGTGAATATTTCTAAGGTCAGTTTACTTATCAGTTAGTCCAGTAAGATTGTATGTTGGACATAGATCTGTAAGAAGAGCTATTTATGATCGCACTGTTTTAGATCCTGTTATCTCTAGGACAATTAGCATAATTTTGACCCAAATGAAAGACGACACAAATTGAAAGTGATCCCAATGATTTAAAAGCTATGTACATGGTTGAATAAGTTTATGTTGTCATAAGTAATCTGATTAAAAGTAATACAGATTTAGAAAACTGAGTAAACACGAAGTCTAAATTTTGTTATGATTATTAATCAATGATTAGAAAATAGTGTTGTGTGATGAAAACTATTTTCATAGAATTATAAATCGAAATTGATTATTTTGCATACACACCTAATATTTACCGAGAGCTTTTTCATTTTCTATTTGATATGTCTAGTGAAAGAAATTATTAATTTTTGAAATTTTATATAAATTGTAAACTTTCATAGGTTGTATCGTGAAATGTTCATAGTTTAAACAAACAAATGTGAATCAGGAAGGATTGGAATATAATCGCACAATACTTGTTAGATATGTATATCATTGGATTCCAAATCTTAAGATTAAGTTCCCACTCGCAAGACTGAAGGTTGTGGTGGTGTTTCGTTCTGTGAGCTTGATGAAAGACTGAAAGTCCTTAATATGGTGGCGGATGCACACTGCTGAGGATCCTCATAATTGAGGTAAGGTGGCAGGACAACTGAAATGGAGTCATTATAATTAAATGTACCGTAAGTTCATAAGAGAGCTTAATTACTGGAAAACTATCATAATTTCTTAAAATTTTACAGATATAGAAACCAATTGTTTATTGACTGGCAGTGTTGACTAAATTTTACTGATTAGGATTATTAGCTAAGTAACTTGATACTGTGGTTCATTTTAATCGATAGTGTATTATGGGAAGTAATAAGTACGAAGGTTTGAAACCCAAGACCTTCGGTCTTGCTCACGAACGCTTAACCTCTGGATCACTGAGCCGGTATCTAATGGTGTTAATGTCTAACTGCGATTAATCTATGGTCTTGCGCAAACTATGATGAAAATTATCATGTGCTCACTAATGACTATCACCATGAAGAAATTTCTCCAAGTTTTGGTGAGGAGCCTTGACCAATGGAGTCCAACCCTATCGGGTGTGAAGCACCACCCACTGAAGACAATGGATGCGGTTGCACAAGGCCATGGATTGGTCAAAGTTAGACATCAGCACTGTTGATACTGGCTTAGTGGTATAGAGTTTAATAGTCCGCGCATGAGACCAAAGGTCCTGAGTTCGATTCCCCCGTGCGTTAGCCGTGGATGCGCACTGCTGAAGAGTCCCATCCTAGGACGAAATGGCTGTCCAGTGTTTCTAGGTTTCTAATAGTGGTCTAACCTTGATCGACTCATTATTTCAGTGAGACTATTTATTAGTCTAGGCATGAATAATGAACTCATCAGCACTAAAATAAACTTTATTGAATGTAAAAAAAGTACAATAAAATGTCTTTGAAAAAAAATTTTAAAAAAACAAGATTCAACTTAATATTTTTTGATTTTATAACTTACCAATATCTGAGGGAAGTTCTAACAATTTATAAGTTAAAGATGGTTGTCTTTCTGGGCTCATATCTAATACTTGTAATTCTCTTAACATGAATAACTCAGCTGGTACATTTTCTAAATCTTTTCCCTGTAATTTTAATCTCTTCAATCCTGGGTAGTCAACATCGTCAGTTTCAATGTAAAGTCTTAATGATACATTTGTCATAATAAATATTTGCTTGTTTTTTTTTTGTTGTTGTTGTTGAAAAAAGCGATTTACTTAATTCAGAATTCAATCAGGTATATATATATATATATATATATATATATATATATATATATATATAATTGATTTCCTTCGATATTTGTACTCATTCGTTCAAATGGTTACCAAGGTGTTAGAGGTCATAGAGATTAAAGTAAAGTTCAGCTGGATAGAAACACAAGTTAAGATTGGCTATCTCAGTAATAAATTATACGAAATACTATTAATTAGATCAGATTTGCCAAAAACAATTTCTAAAACTAAGTTCATGCAAATATAGTAATGGCTAGAAACTTTATCAGGCCAATTGATAATTTGCTATGCAAACACAATTTTGTTCAATTTTTCAGCTTATTTACTAAATATCTTGTTTGTCATCAAACACAACTCTCTAATCAGTGGGTTTTTCTACAAATCAGCGAAAAATGTATTATCACCAAAGTTGGAAAAAAAACTACCAGGTTGCAAGATATATTGACATGAATTTTAAAACTCATCAGAGTCACTAAATAATTCGCGTGATGGATGAATAACTTGAGATAACTAAAAATTATTTTGTTAATTAAATTTTGAAATCACTTATTTTTCTCAAACTGAAGTTAGTTTTTAAAAAACTGTTGATAATCAAGATTTATTGAATAGACGTTTCGTTATAGTTTTAAACTTATCTTCAGTGCTCACTTCACCAACCATTTCAAACAAAACAAAAGTCAGATATAATTTGTCCGAAAGTATCAATAATTGATCAACCAAAGAGATCTTAGGTAGAATTTGGGAACTAGGCATAATTCCATCTGACGAGTCTTGATCACTGGTTGTCTTTGAACAAAAAAGCACAAAAGTTCTCTTATGATAATCACAAAGGAATAAGTCTAACTAATATAGTATCTAAAATATTGGCCTCAGTAATATTTCGACGTCTAATCATAACTTGTGAAGAGCAGATTAGAGAAAACTAGGCTGGTTTTCAAACTGAACGTGGATGTATATATCAGACATACCCACTGCGTCAGGTCCTAGAATAAAGACAGTCGTTCAGACTACCCACAATAGTAGTATTTCTCGACCTTAAAGAGGTATTCGACTCTGTTGATCGTCTGGTTCTGCGTCAGTATCTGTCATTAGGTGTACCAGAGAAGTACATTAACCTCATGCAAGCCACCAACTCCAACACTACTGGTCGAGTGAGAGCTTATGGCAAACTCTCATTGGAAGTGATTACTTAAAGTTGTGTTCATCAAGGTTGGTCACTTTCTCCATTCTTATTTAACTTTGCCATAGACATGCTTTATATTCGTCTGACTTTTCAGGAGTAGACCTTTGACCAGACTGACTTAGAATATGTTGATGACATGGTTCAACTTGGTCTTCTAACTACCCTGAGCAACAATGCAAGAATGTTCGGGATGCGGTTTCTCCCCTGGAAATGCAATGTCGCTTCAAGATTGGCTTGCCTCAGTAACAGAACTAGTGATACGGAGTGAAGTGGTTTAGCGTGTTGACCGTAAGATATCGGTTTGCTAACTAAAGAACGAGTGTACTGCGCAGCAGTTCGCTCCGTCCTACTATACGGATGCGAAACATGGCCGTTAAGAGTAGAGGATATTCATAGATCGCTTGTCTTCGATCATACGTGTCTCCGAAGCATTACTCATATATCATGGGACAACCGAGTAAGCAATGCTGTTGTTAGGAAACGAGTTCTAGGTAAGGACGGGAGATTAATCGGTGAAGTATCGAAACTTCATCAGTTGGTGTGGTTGGGACATGTGTTACGAATGCTCAATCACCAATTACCTGGTCGAGCGATGTTTAGTGGTGTAGGAGTAGGTTGGAAGGAAGCTAGGGGCGGCCAAACCAAAGCACGGAACAAATCCATGAAGTCACTGACAAGTGGACTGAGTCATGTTGTTAGATGTAGGCTACATGATTGGAGGTCCGCGAGATGACAGTAATCGATAATTAGAGAACTTGTATGACATAGCTCAGAATCGTTTGCAACGGTATATATGCACCCACTCTTCGTGTTCTCTCAAATTCTAATCTTCTAAATTTTCCTCAACTCTATCTTTCTCTTTCCAAAGTTATCTCACTGAATTATACTTCTTGAATAATATCTTCGAACCCTAGTCTTCTCTATTATTGCTAATTCTTCTACTATCTCTACCACTATGGGATTTGAAGTGACAATTGCGTCTCTGTGCTAATGCGGTATGGCAACATATATATATATATATATATATATATATATATATCAGTCAGTCAGTCAGTTGCAACGTAGAACTTCGTACGTAAGTACATCAGTTCATGTCGCCATACCACATCAGCACAGAGATGTAATTGTCAATTCAATCCAATAGTAGAAGAGGTAGTACGGGTATCAGAAGTATTTGGAGAGGTTAGGATGAGAAGATATTATTCAAGAAGTATGATTAAATGAGAAAAGTTTAGAAAGTCAAAACGAGAGGGGTTGAAGAATCCAGAAGATTAGGATTTGAGAGAACACAAAGAATAAATGCACCGGCGCCATTGCGAACGATTTTGAGCCATGTCTTTCAAGGTCTCTAACCATCGATTATTATCATCTCGCGGACCCCAACCAGGTAGTCGACAATTACCGACATGGCTAGGTCCGCTCGTCAATGACTCATGGATTTCTGCCATGTTTTGGTTTGGCTGCCCCTAACTTTCTTCCAACTTATTCCTACACTACAAAACAAAGCTCGACGAGGCAGTCGGTGGTTAGGCATACGCAACACGTGTCCCAACCACCTCAACTGATGAAGTTTCACCACTTCATCTATTGATCTGAAATTCTTACTTAGCACCCGTTTCCTAACAACAGTATTGCTTATACGGTTGTCCCACGATAATCAAACGCTGCTTCGGAGACACCTATGATCGAAAACAAGTAACCTACGAATATCTTCTCCTCTCACTGGCCATGTTTCTCAGCCATTAAGTAAGACGGGGCGAACCACTGCACAGTACACTCGTCCTATAGTCAGCAAACGGATATCTCGCCTTCGCCATAAGTGACGCAGGTTGGCAAAAGCCTATCGAGCCTTCTGTATCCGTGCTGAGATTTCGTCAGTCACCAGGACATCGGTACTGATGAGACTCCCAAGATAAGTGAAGCGGTCTACACATTCGACTACTTCACTCACTATCACTAGTTCAGTTGTCTATGCAACCCAATCTTGAAGCAACATTTTGCATTTCGAGGGTGAGAACCGCATCCCGAACATGCTTGCATTGTTGCTTAGGGTAGTCAGAAGACTGCATTTTGTCAGCGTCTTCACCAAGTAGGACAATGTCATCAGCATATTCTAAGTCAATAAGCGAGCCAGCAGGTAAAAGGTCTACTCCTGAAAATTCAGACGAGGATAAGGTTATTTCTAGGAGCATGTCAATGATAAAATTAAACAAGAATGGAGAAAGTGGACATCCCTGATGGACACCACTTGAAGTGAAGAATTCCGGTGACAGTTTGCCATAAGCTCTCACTCGACCAGTGGTGTTCGAGTAGAGAGCTTGTCTAACGTTAATGTAATTCTTTGGCACACCTTTCAGTGACAGACTGCCACAGAACCTCACGATCCACTGAATCAAATGCCGCTTTTAGGTCCAGGAAAACAACTATTGTAGGACGCCTAAATGTGTGTCTATGTTCCAGGACCTGTTGTAGTGTGAAAATGTGGTCTATACAACCACGTCCAGGTCTGAAACTAGCCTGGTTTTCTCTTGTCTGCTCTTCACGAGCTTTCGTTAAGCGTTGAAGTATTACTGAGGCCAATATTTTAGATACTATATTAGTTAGACTTATTCCCCTGTGATTGTCACAAGAAGACTTCTCTCCTTTCTTATAAATTGGGACAATCAGTGATTGAGACCAGTCGGATGGGATTACGTCCAGTTCCCAGATTCTACCTAAGATCTCGGTCAACCTAGTTGCTAAAACTGGACCACCATCCTTAAATATCTCAGGGGTCAGTCTATCAGGACCCGCAGCTCGCCCTCGCTTCAGATTTCCTAACGCTTTTTCAACGTCATTAAGACTAGGGGGACTTACGTCGATTTGCCATTCAGAGTGACTGGAGATCGTGGGTAACCGAAGAGTGGCTCGAGGCAAGTTGAACTGATCCCTTAAGTGTTCTACCCATCGATCCAGTCTCCTGGATTGGGAATAAATAATAGTCCCATCATTTTCCGAGATAGTCCCATTTACATTAGGATTCCTAATACCAGTTTCCTTGATAAGTCGGAAAAGTTGTCTACTGTTGCCAATCGCCGCTGCCTTTTCCATCGCTTTTCTTTCGGCACCCACCACTGTTCGCGATCGTTACGTAGGTTTTTCATAAGTCTGCGCCTAAGTTGACTTCGTTCTTCATCATGTTCAGAGCCAGGTGGGATGAGTTTTCGGGTATCCATCAGATCGGTGGATGCTACTGAGATCTACGGCTTTATTCTAGCCTTATGGTCAACCTTACTAGCAGATATCACTGCTGTTTCCACAGCCTTCTTTATATCATTCCATCCTGCTTCCGTATGGGAATCGCTTATATGGTCGCCTAACTGTCTTTCTAGTTGTTCCTGAAATATATTCTTCGCCTTATTATCATTAAGTAAAACCCTAAGAGGCTTTCTTACGTTGTCTTTCCTACGCGCAGTAAGCTTCAAACAAATACGCGCTCGCACTAGGGCATGATCTGAATCCAAACATGTGCCCCAGAACGAGCGACAGTCTTCTATCGAACCCCTCCATCGGTGGCTGATGGCGAAGTGATCTAGTTGAGTCCAACGTTGAGACGACTTTGGAGGTCGCCAGGTCAACAGATGCTTTTCCTTATGCCTAAAGTTAGTCTGAGCATACTTGCAACAGACGGTCACAATTGTCTGTTCTCTGAGCCGCGACACCATAACATCCACCTAGGTGTCTCTCCTGCTCACTTAGTCTACCTACTTGAGCATTAAAGTCACCAGCCATTAATACTATATCAGAGTGCCTAGCTTTTTGGAGGAGGTCCGAAAGCTTTCTGTAAAACTCATCTTTAACCTCGTCTGAACTGCAGTCAGTGGGGGCATAGGCAGATACGATGAAGAGGCAATGGCGAGTGTCCCTATCCTTCCGAGTCCTTACTGTCCCATTTAGTCGGACAGCGCACAAGCGACTATCTACCGGGATCCAGTCAAGGAGAGATTGTTCAGCTCTACCACTCAATGCTATGCCTACGCCAGCTAGACCCCTGGAAGCAGCATCAGGGCTACCGGATACACGAAGAGTAAATCGAGCTGCTTCTTTATTTTGACAAGGTGAAATCAGATTAATAATTTCACTAGGATCCTGTATGCGCGTGTCCGAGACGCAGCATACATCGATGGCACGAGATTCTAAAGTCCAAGCTAATGATGCCTGTTGCCCTATTTGACACAATGTCCGTACATTAAATGCTCCAACATGTAGTCTAGAGCGGGGTTTAAGGAGACCAGGAACGACGTTTCGCGAGCTCGTGTCGTCTGCATTAGCTGTGCACTGTGATAAATGAATGTGAGAAGAGTTAGTCGTGGAGATAAGAGAGGTACTAGGGGGTGTAGGAAGGATTTGATTTTGACCAATTTGGTCTCGCGTGCTGTTACGGGTATGAGGGGCGTTGTCACTTCCCGGCTGCCCACACCGTGGAAGGTTGTTTCTTGAGGAACCTGAAAAGCAAAATAGATTAGTGTTTGTCTTAGAGACCTGGGTGCGTGACCGCAGAGCCCAAGGGACAATTGCTTGAGGACGGTCACGCACGGCCTTTTTATGAAACGTTTTTTGAGGATTGGCTCCGTTCTTAAAGGCTCTTAGTGGGCACCCTTACCCAAGGAGACGGAAACCCGTGAGGTAGGGGCGGTGTGACATTTTTAGGGCCGAGCTTTTCTAACCCTTCCTTCCTTGTGAGAAGGCAGCATCGCTGCAGATGCTGGTTGTCCGAGGGAAACACCTTACTACTGTCACACCCCTCTGCAGTCAGCAGTACGACTTCGCCCTCAGACCTTGGAGTAGCTGCTTTTAGTCTCATCGTTCTCCAATCGACCAGCCTGGGATGGTAGGACCTGCAGGAACATATGTTCCAGCCAGTATAGCTCGGTTGGGTCATCACGATAGGCAAGCCCGACCACCACATCAAGGTAGCAGCTACGGTCGGGTATATAAATATATATATATATATATATATATATATATATATATATATATATATATATATATATATATATATATATATATATATATATAATATTTTCGGTTAACAGCATCCTTGTGACAAACCAGTTTTTGTCTGACTTAACCGACTGTGAAAATACTTCTTGATATATATTTCTCTAGTAATGGGTATATAGCAATGACTGAACATGACCGCTTTTATGAAGCTATTGATACTCAAGATGGATGGAGTTAAGTACAACGTTCCCAGTCTTCAATGTATTAGTCCAGGTACGGCCTAACGAAGAGGTTTTAATGATTGGAAAGTGGGTGACCTACAAGCTAACTTCCTCCTATCGCTTATGGCATATGACCATGTTTGTTTTGTGTTGATATATAGTACGTAACCATAGTATTTTATTGGATAAAAGTTATTATTTTAGCTAGCGTTCAGGTCCTTGATTTATTGTTATTAAGGTTTAAATCAAGAATTAGGTCTCATGTGCAACCATCATCCTCCCGAATCTTTTTATATATTCAATCGATCGGCATTCATCTAAATAATTGGAGAGCGCTTTTGCTAAACCATCAAATGCTACTCAGTGACAGTGTGGTACCCAATACTTCCAGTTATATGACCTTTTTTCCAAAGGGTGTGTTGCTTGTTGCGTTGTAATTTATTCTTTAGATTTTATATAAATCATCTGAAGTTGCTTCCAACTATCTGCTGTAATTATGTCAGTTTAGCCCTGCTCAACGTACACAATCAATTGACTGCTTTTATTACAGGAAATGCATAGAGGAATAAAATATGCTGGTAGCTAAAGTAAATAACTGGATGTAAGACAAATAAAGTCCAAACAGTTGGTTGATTAACACTTGCACTAAGCATTGCAGTCGATGATGTTACAGTTATTCATTTTCCTTTAAGTTTAAAACTTCACATTACATACTTCATATAATGTCCAAAGCTTAGGCCTAATTGTCAGGTTTTATCAGTATAAGGTTGAGGCAATTGTTAGGTTTTATTAAAATCATGAATTGATCAATGTTAGACCACCACTAAAATTCTGGAGGCACAAACACAGTTACCTACAAGTTAATTCACGTCAATCGCCTATGATATCTAATCATGTTTATTTTGTGTTCATAATTTGTGTACAAGTTAGTTTAATTTCCCAACATGGAAAAATCGCTCGACCACATCAAATCACTGAGCTCGTCTATCGAGCATTAATTCAAACAAAAAATTTGGTCTCATCAAAAGCCTTCTCGATACATTTTGACTCATTTATTTCAGAACTATTGCTGCCATAACTATGTTCATTCTTACTGATTTTCTGTTTCTATCTCCTTCATTTTTTGTACAAATATTTGCAACAATGAAAATTTGTGCTAAACCTCTTATGGATGATTTCAATCGAATACCATGAACTGCTTAATGAACATGCACTGTTATATTTTTTTAATGTCAATTAATAACCCATCACGGAAACCTACTCAATGAATAAAGTAAAACAGAAGTTGTTAAGAAATTATTGAGTCAGTGAGACATCGACTTATACACAAAGGGATAGGAACAATATAAAAAGAGATTTAGTGTCACTTTTTATGTGGTCAGTTGTGGATGAGATGAAATAATAGGTCGTTGACTACGTAGTTATTCATCGTTTTAAATATTCATAGCTTAATTTAGGGCCGTCTTATCAGCGTAAAATAGGGAAATTTACGGAAGGCTACAAGTGTATAAAACTGTTTAATTTCAGATAAAAATAGTAAAATATAACAAAATAGGCAGGAATTCTTTATATTATTTCAAATGAAGGTGATAAAACTCCCGTTGAAATATCAAAATCCATACACGCAGAAATTCGTAGTAAATCATTAGATGAAATTTTAGTTTTCCAATTTGATGGGAAAAGAAAAACACCTTGCTGTGCTCCATGAGATTTCCAAAGAATAGGTTCATTTGGTGTCGTAATTTTGTCGGGACCAGCTGGTGCATACCACCAAGTTTCACTAGAATGGTGTGTGGAAGGGGTATTATAGAGCCACTCACACCAGAATGCTATACCATTAACAGATGAGGATACTGCAGTTAGAGTGTTCTGTTTACAACAAATTAACTTTTTAGAATCAACATACTGAAAATTTGAACCCAGATCCGGGCTGTTCGGTAGAATCATATCAAAAATCACACAAGCATCCGATCTAGCCGTATTAGGATATTCCCAGAGGGGGTGTGGTTCAATTAATTCATCACTTCTAGCTGACGCATCTAGAACTAGCTCATCAAAAGGGCGTAAATCAAAAGATTCACAAGTGAATCCAACTGGCGAACGTATCCGCCAAAGATTTTCGAAGTCAACCAGGACAGCATAGATGCGTAGTCTAACAGGGCTAAATAAATACAAAGATGAATGGGTTGGGTTATGTGAAAGCAAATGCTGAAAGGCATACCAAAAGTACAAAGAATCCCAAGGAAGTATTGCTGAACTTATGTATGGTTCGCCGATCAAAATTAGAGTTGACTCAGTTGATTTAGATTCTGTGCAAGTGTTGTGAGTCATTTTGGAGGAAACCTGCTCAATCGACTGGCAACTCTCTATAATTGACCAGGACGAAGAATATGACTTATAAATACGATCCAAAAGTAAACACGAAGATGGTGACGTATCTAAGTGAACTAGTTGAGATTGTATGGCATGCTTCATTAAACTTTTTCCCAGTAAAAAAGGTAAATATGTACAATCTGAAACCACTAACACATTAAATAATGAAGTTGGGTATTTTTGTGATACTGTAATGACAGAGTTAAGGATTTTAGTAGAAAATGTTCTGTAATCAGATGAATTCAATTCGGAAATGCGTGTTCGTGGCCACACACGATGAAGGTCGCACGAGCATGATAAAAAAGACATTTCATCCGTGACATTGATTGCAGAAGTATCACGTTTAGAATTAAGGCTAGGTACCGTAAGTATGTCAAATCGCATGGACAATGAATCATGAAGAAATCTGATTATAAATGACTCATTTTTGATTAAATGGTGAGCAGTCTTTGGAAAATAAACCGCTTGCATCCAATGGTCTCGCCAAGCAGAATTAGGATCTCCTATCCAAGTGGGTGCGACACTGATTGGTGGGACTGTGTTTGTAGGTTCCATTTGTAAAGACCACCAAACAATAAATGCATGTGCAATGCCAGATTCAAAAGTAGTGCCTACAAATAGATTTTTTAAGACGGAAAAATCAGTCACAAAATATTTGCCAAGCAACTGTAGTGATTTGAAACGCTTGGTTTATTCAAATACCGCAATAAAAACATTATTAGTGTAACACAATTCGAAACTTGCAAGACCATCGAAACTGATTATTGAATTCTGTGACATTGTACAACTAGTAACGTCATGCGAATAATAACAACTAGATATTGTATAATGGCTCTTTACAAATGATTATTTTGTCAGTGAGATTGTATATTTTACTGAACATAGGTTATTAACGTCCAAATACGTAAGCATGATTTGTACTCAGTTTTAGTATGTTTTGTTGCTGTAGGTGTAAAGATCGGCTACTTGAAAATTGCAAGAGGGAGGTGATGACCGGTGCTTCCTGATTTACTAAAGTATTTCAAGAAGAAATTGGAGAATTTATGTTGCATTAAGAAATATTTATGAAGCTAATCACTCATAATCCTTCTGAAATTACTGATTATGGAGTTTTTAAGAGCCTAATGCGAGGATTAAAAAACCACAAAGTTTCGGGACCCATCTCTTCAACTCCGTTTTTGGATTAATGGCTAAAAGTGGATGCATGACAAAAAAAGACCATAATACCGTCTTATTTCAAAGTAAGAGACTAAGTACACAAATCAACTTAAACAGTCATTTACATTATGACAAAAGGAAAGTTGCAATATCTACTAATTTATTCGTATGAAGTAGAATTCCGATCTGCATCTATCTGAAAACTGTGATCTTTTACTAGAGATGAACTATCATTAATCTTATTATATCCAATAATGTACCGAAAGGCTTTCTAAAAATGAGTCGAAACTTACATTCTAAATCTAAAACATCGTTTAATTTAATAAGATCTGAGGGTGGCCCAAAGTTAAAGCATTTAACAAGTTGAGGACTCTTCAAAAGACACCGCAACCGCCTGTCACATGAAACTGATTGATTATCTTCTAAATGAATCTCTGATACTTGAATATCAAATGTTGATGGAAGTCCTGAACATGATTCAATTTCTGCATGCTGAAACTCGTTTATATCTATTGTTGTATCACCAATTTTATATTGAAATGGAAATAGACGATGATGAGACCAAAGAAATTGAGATTCAACAACCTAGATAATATACACAAAATTGAAAACCTGTTACTGTATGTCTATGTAAATCTTAGAAGTTATCTTACAAACAACAGTTACGGAGATAAAATTTGGACAAATCAGTTTTAAAAAGGAAAAAATAAAGGGAATATTACGGATTACAAACTGGATGTTTTTAAGTAACTAAAATAAAAACAGGCACTCATGATGCATCTATAGTCACATTTAGCAAAATGAGACAGGTACAAATGTTTGATCAACCTATCTTAAAATAAAGTAGTGAACATAGTGATATACAGGAAATGCAATATTCCCAATTCATATATTCGTTGTAAATATAAAAGTTTTCATACTAATTTATTCTAGTTTTATTTAGTGGCTAGATAGTACTAACGATTTCTGAAGAGTAAAATGAGTTGCTTCTTTATCTCGACATGTAGAGATCAAGTGAATGACGCTACTCGGATCCTGCATGCGCGTTCCCGAGAGGCAGCATACATCCATTGAGCGAGATTCTAATGTCCTAGCTAAGGAAGCCTGTTTTCCTAAATGACACAATGTCCGTACATTAGAAGTTCCAACAGGTAGTCAAGAACGGGGTTTCAGGAGACCAGGAATAACGTTTCGGGAAATCGCATCGTTTGCATTAGCTGTGCAGTGTGATAAAGGAATATGAGAAGAGTTAGTCGTGGAGATGAGGGGGACGTTAAAGGATGTAGGAAGGATTTGATAGTGACTAATTCGGTCTCGCGTGTTGTTACGGGTATGAGGGGCGTTGTCACTTCCCGGCTGCCCACACCGTGGAAGGTTGTTTCTTGAGGAACCTGAAAAGGAAGGTATATCAATGTCGGTCCTAGAGACCTGAGAGCGTGACCGCAGAGCCCAGGGAACAACTGCTTGAGGACGGTCACGCACGGCCTTTTTATGAAAGGTTTTTCGAGTATTAGCTCCGCTGTTTTTAAAAGCCTTTATTGGGAAACCCTTACCGCCGCGGACAGAAGTCTGTGAGGTAGGGGAGGTGTGACATTTTTAGGGTCGACATTTTCTAACCCTTCCTTCCTTGTGAGAAGACAGCATCGCTGAAGATGTTGATTGTGCAAGAGAAACACCTTACTGCTGTCACACCCCTCTGCAGTCAGCAGTACGACTTCGCCCTCAGACCTTGAGTAGCTGCTTTTAGTCTCATCGTTCTCCAATCGACCTGCGTGGCATGGCAGAACCTTCAGGAACATATGTTTCAGCCAATATAGCTCGGTTGGGTTATCACGATAGGCAAGCCCGACCACCCCGTCAAGGTGATAGCTACGGTTGGTGACCCAGAAAGCCGTCTCAACGCTGGACCCAACTAGATCACATCGCCATCAACCACCGACGGAGGGGTTCCACAGAAGACTGTCGGTCATTCTGGGGCACATGTCTAAATTCAGATCATGCCCTAGTGCGAGCGCGTATTTTTTTGCGACTTAGTGAACGTAGGAAAGACACCGCAACTAAACCTCTGAGGTGTTAGGTTCGTCACTAGGTATGCTTGAAACTATTACGGCTTCATCTTAGTCGATAAACGAGAACGAGACAACGAACCAGCGCCCAGGTAGGCTACTCTGATCCGTTGACCCCAAACAGCTAACGAGTCTCGATATAGCGTAGAAAGTATATTCCACAAACTCCCAGCAAGCACAATGAATTCAAGCACACAAATCTCGTTTATTTATACATAATAGAAACGTCTTGGGACAGTCACAAAAATAGCACACTAAAATACACAACAACCAATCACAGCCAAGGGTTTTCCTGGTGGGAAGTGAAATCTCAAGGTCAATTGATCAGCCCATGCTCGCAAATGTGAAATCCAAAATACGGCGTTTGTCAAGCGAGTATTGGGGATCTAACGTCTCAACACTCCTTCCCTTTTTAATAGCGTGAGCTCCTGGGGTCGACTTGCACCTTAACTGTCGTTCACCGCTGTCTGAGAGGATACATTCTGGAACGGAGATCAGCTTGTGCAGAGTTTCTTCTCGTAGTGAGACTGTCGGTAGGTTGACAGTATCAAGCAGAATGTCAAGGGGAAGATTTTCTGCTCTTGATGGACGATCTGGGGCTAGCCATTTGCGTATCTGATTTCGATGGCGTGACCACCTTTCGCCTCATACCCCTACTTCGTACATAACTCAACCAAATCTTCTGACCACTCGCGCTTCTACCCAAAGACCATGGTTTGTTCTGTAGTCACCGGTAAACACCGGACATCCCACTTCCTACGTGGATCGCCTTTGCAGCTTTGTCTCTACTGATGTTGGTGCATTAGTCGGATGCATCAGGCTGCAGATCGTTTTCAGGCTTCTTCCCATCAGCATTTCTGCTGGGGACTTTTGTTGTTCGATAAACGTACAAGAAATTTTGTAACGCGTCGGCCAATGTCCCCTCCCCCTCTGACATAGCCAATGCTCTTTTAAACGTATCCACAAACCTTTCCGCTTCCCCATTCCGTTGCGGATGGTATGGTGGCGAGCGTAAGTGTTTAATGGCTAACCGTTGGCAGAAAGTTTGAAATTGGGTAGAGGTAAATTGAGACCCACTTTCAGATACGATCACATCTGGTATGCCATTTCGAGAGAAAATTTCGATGAGGAGCTATATTATCTTAGTCGTCGTGGGCGGCATTACGGGATTGATTTCCAGCTATTTTGAGAAGGCGTCGACCACGATTAAATACACAATTCAATTGATTTGACCAGCGAAGTCAACGTGTATCTTGGACCAAGGATGATCAGGTTTGGGCCATAAAACCGGCGGAACTTTGGCATTCATCTTTGCCGCCTGCTGACACCGCATGCATTTTTCAACCAACGCTGTGATATGTTGATCCATGAGAGGCCAGTATGCATAACTCATGGCTATGGACTTCATTCGTTTAACCCCTGGATGACCAAGATGGAACTGTCTCAGCACTTTTGCATGAAGGGAATCTGGAACCACCACTCTTCCCCCAAACATCAAACAGTCGTTCACGATGCATAGTGAATCCCGCCGCTGATACAGCTGCTTCATGTCACCATCAAACTTCTTCGAAGGCCAACCGTTGGTGACGTATGTCATCATCTTGATGACGGGGCTGTTTCTAGAAGCATTTTGTATGTCTGTAGCAGACACCGGTAATGCCCGTATTGCAGTTGTCAGAAAACATTCCGCGTGGTCTTCCACTGACAGAGATGCGATCACCATGTTTTCCTCAGCCGCCATTTGATCATTGATGAGTCGTGACAAAGCGTTTGCCGGACCGAATTGTAGAGTGCGTCGATATTGGATTTCAAAATCATACCCCAAAAGCAGATAATGCCCTAGTGCGTGCGCGCATTTGTTTGCGACTTAGTGGACATGGGAAAGACACCCGAATTAAAACTCGTAGGGTTTTTTTTTCAATGATAGAATAGCTAAGAATGTCTATCTTTCAGGAACAATTTGAAAAACAGTTAGGCGGCCAAGTAAGTGATGCCCATCCCCAGGTAGTTTGGAATGATATCCAAAAAGCTGTGAAAACAGTAGTGATATCTATTGGTATGTTAAAGTTTAGGAAGAAGCCGTGGATCTCAGTAGAATCCACCAAACTGATAGACGCTCGTAAACTCATTCCACCTCACTCTGAAGAGCGAAGTCAGCTTAAGCGCAGGCAGATAAAAAGCCTACGCAATGATCGCGAACAGTGGTGAGTAGAGAAAGCAAGAGCGATGGAAAAGGCAGCGGCGATAGGCAACACTAGACAACTTTTCCGCCTTATTAAAGAAACTGGTATTAGGAATCTGAATGTGAGTGAGACTATCTCGGAAAAGGATGGGACTACTATCCATTCTCAATCCAGGAGATTGGATCGACGGACAGAACACTTCAGGGATCAGTTCAACTGGCCTCGAGCCACACTTCGGTTACCCACGATCTCCAATCATCCTGAATGTCAATCCGACGCAAGCCCTCCGAATCTTTATAAAGTTGAAAAGGCCATAGGAAATCTGAAGGAAGGGAGAGCAGCAGGACCTGATAGATTGACCCCTGAGATATTTAAGGATGGTGAGCCAGTTTTAGCAGTTAGATTGACTGAAATCTTAGGTAGAATCTGGGAACTGGGCGTAATCCCATCTGACTGGTCTCAATCACTGATTATCCCAGTCTATGAGAAAGGACAAAAGTCCTCTTGTGACAATCACAGAGAGATCAGTTTAACTAATAAAGTGTCGAAAATATTGGCCTCAATAATCCTCCGAGGCTGAAATAAAGCTCAAGAAGAGCAGATTAGAGAAAACCAGGCTGGTTTCAGACCTGGACGTGGTTGTATAGACCACATTTTCATACTACGACAGGTCCTGGAACACAGACATACATTTAGGCGTCCTACAATAGTTGTCTTCCTGGACCTTAAGGCGGCATTCGACTCAGTGGATCGTGAGGTTCTGTGGCAGTGTCTGTCATTGAAAGATGAACCAAAGAAGTACATTAACCTTAAACAGGCTCTTTACTCGAACACCACCAGTCGGGTTAGAGCTTATGGCGAACTGTCAACAGGATGCTTTACTTCAAGTGGTGTCCGTCAAAGATGTCCACTCTCCCTATTCTTGTTTAACTTTGTCGTAGATATGCTTTTAGAGTCAATATTTTCACTTTATGACTCTTCAGGAGTGGACCTTTTACAAGGAGACACGCTTGCTAACTTAAAATGTGCTGATGACATAGTCCTACTCGGTGAAGACGCTGTAAAAATGCAGTCTTCTGACTACCCTAAGCAACAATGCATGTTCGGGAAGTGGTTCTCACCCTCGAAATGCAAAATGTTGCTTCAAGATTGGGTTCCATAGACAACTTGTGATAGGGAGTGAAGTAGTCGAGCGTGTCAACCCCTTCACTTATCTTGGGAGTCGTATTAGTGACTTTTGCCAACTTGGGTCACATATGGCTTGGCCGAGATGTCCGTTTGCTAACCAAAGGACGAGTGTACTACGCAGCAGTTCGCTCCGTCCTACTATACGGATGCGAAACATGATCGGTGAGAGTAGAGAACATTCGTAGATCGCTTGTCTTCCATCATACGTGTCTCTGAAGCATTGCTCGTATATCCTGGGACAACCGAGTAAGTAACGCTCTAGTTAGGATACAAGTGCTAGGTAGGGATGGAAAATCAATAGGTGAAGTATTGAAACTTCATCAGTGTTATGAATGCCCAACCACCGACTGCCTCGATGAACAATGTTTTGTGGCGTAGGAATAGGTTGGAAGAAAGCCAGGGGCAGGCAAACCAAAACACGGCAAAAATCCATGAAGTCACTGACAAGTGGACTGAGTCATGTTGGTAAGTATAGACTTTTTGGTTGGGGTCGTCGAGATGATAGTAATCGATCATTAGAGAACTTGTATGATATAGCTCAAAATTGTTTGCAATGACGCAGGTGCATTCACTCTTTGTGTTCTCTGAAATTTTGACCTTCTGAATTCCTCATCATCTCTATCGCTCTTTTTCCAAAGTTATCTCACTGAATTATACTTCTCGAATCGTATCTTCGAACCCTAATCTTCTCCATTACTGCTAATATTCTACTATCGCTACCACTATTGGATTTGAGCTGACAGTTACGTCTCTGTGCTAATGTGTTATGGCAACCTGAACTGACGTACATACGTACGAAGTCCTGTGTTGTATCTCTCTGTCTTATCCATCACACGTGCTTTACTAATATAGGTGACAGTATTGTAAAGGTGTTTTTGGGTGAAGTGCAGTGTCATGGATGAACTTTTAACATTCATGAAAAAAGGCGAATCAATGAGATATTGTTTTCGTCTACTTAAATAGGTCAATTAATATGGCACAAGTTAGTTATTTTAGTGCTTATGCAACATGCAGCACACGTGTAGATTTGCCTAGAGTCCTCTGGGGTCACTGTCGGTCTCAAAACTGGGTAAAGTAGCGTTAGGAGTAGGACCAGTAACCTCTCCTCGTCAACAATCACTAACCAGAGAAAATCATTTGAGCTACCTAAACTGCGAGTTAACGGGTATATTCGAGTTGAAAATAATTGTCGTAAAGGTGACAATCGTAAACAAAATTAACTGAAATTTTTAAGTACAGTTACTCTAAATGGACTTACAGCTGAATGGATTTCAAACAAAATATACACTACAACCTAGGACTAGGTTTTGCATCTTCGGTTAAGATTCCAGTCTGCGATTACAACAATGTATGGGGTAAACCAGTCGATAAGGAAAACTTAAGGCAAGTTGGTATAGACCGATGCACTGATTTCTGGAGCAGTTATCTTTTTTCATGAGGACGACACTTTTATAACGAACAATTATTCCAAGTAATGTATATAATTTCATTTTTATCCATCTCTAGTTACTGGAAACAGTGTCACTGGAGTTTACGCTTGAATCTAGATCTGTTTCTGCCTTTTACCTTCTACACTATTGTTAACAAAACGATATTCACTTGCTTCCCCTTTCATTGATGTTAAGTGTCATTTATTAATACTCATATCTAACTACATGGACGAAATAAGAAATGCACTTAAGGTTAACCGATAAAATATACTGGTCAAACACAAAACTACAGTTGTAATCAAATGAATTGAGTACTCAAGATTCGCAATTTAAAATACATTACTTTACCTGTAAATAAACCTGAGCAGCACATGGGATAAGAGAAGCATCGGGTGTCAGCAAGTGCTCGGCCGCATGTCTGTACGTTTCTAAGGCACCTTCACCGATTAATTCAGTATCAAATAATTCCGCAACCAAGACGTTAGCTTTGTATGGCATATCTAATCCGACAATTAAATCCGTCGAGTGTTTCGGGATTACATTAATCTTGTCAATAAACCCATTGTTTTGTAAGATGTTCATTGCGCACTTAGCCATTGGAAGGAAGGATTCACAGGCGGTAACTAAGTCAGCTCCAGCATTGACAGCCATCATACTCAGCAAACCAGTCCCAGTCCCGATATCCAACACGTGAATAGGCTTTTCGGGATACTGCTGTCTAAGACGTTTAATGGTATGTTCTATAGCTAATCGATACTTATGATTTCGATCAGAATCATGAAGCATATCGCCATATCCAGATCTAGCTATTTCTTGGTTAAAATCATAATCTGGATCTACATCTTTCCACTGAGTTCTGCCGACGACAGGATTATATTTTGGAATGAAAATATGGTCTCTTTTCATTAATATTAGATGTACTTGTGACCGATAAAAGTGTGACGTTAATCTTGAGAAACGAAGCAACTTTGTGGTAATTTGTAATGTGTTATTCGGAACTTGTTGCTGTTGCTAATATGAAGCTGCTGATGAATGTAGGAGTTTGTAAGCATAAATATCTACAGAAAATTTATACGTAAAAGTAAAACTTTAGAGAAAAAGGCATACTCATACTACAGAGTTCAATTAGGAAAGTAATGAAATGTGATAAGGAGATAGATTAAGAAAAGGTCATTTTGGTCAGCCAGGTAGCACATTCCTGACATATTTGTGAACTTACTATTTTATCCAGCATCTATTAAAGCAGTGAAACAACTTGGTTAGTAAGGTAAAAAGTACTCACAGGTCGAAAAATGCGACGAATTTACGGTGTCAATTGACCGAAACATCTAAATATGTTAGGGTCTGACTCGAATAACTTGCGTGTTCATGACTACAAGCTTCCCTACAAAGGCTACGAAGGGTTATCATTTAACCTTCAGAACTTTAGTATGCCAGAAATTTTCGAAGCTCCCGAGAAACAATAAATTGTGATAAAATTTAGAATAAGCCAGGTAAGGTACTGACAAATATCCCTTCTGGCCTACTTCTGTAGTAACTATGAATTTAGACATGTTAATTTAGAGATAACACAGAATTTATTGTTAATTTTTGGTAAACGTAAACATTAAAGTTAACTAAACTGTTAATCTTCAGACCCCATTAAAAGGGGGTTTGTTTGGGTGACTCGCCACCTACTCTAGGCCTGGGGGAAAAACAGGGGAATCGATGCATTGCCTCTTTCTTTAATACTAACTCAACTGAAGGACTTTTTCCAAAGATTTCCACGAAGTCCGCCTTCATTTCTCTCCTATAATTTTCTTCGTAATCCATGAATTTCTGGTTATGCTGCACCAGTTAATTTGATGGCTATAGGAAAAATCAGTACTGACTGTCAGGGATAACGAAAAGACAAATTAAAAATATTACGTTTGCATGTTTTCTGAGCAGTTAAAACCCTTATCTTGCAGGTACTTATCTATTGATATGCATGAATGTATATTTATTTTATTAGTTCTATTATCCCAAGAATGAAAGTGTATGCAGGCACTAAGTGTGTCCTTAATTTATAGTGATGTAAGGATAAATAGAACTTAAAGGTGGGATGTTTCATGGATGTGGAGCGAGACGTAACGATACCTTTATAAAATTGCTAGTTTCAATCTACAATTACCATGAGATTCAGATTTCTGATTTGTGTGTTGGAGGCAAGAGGCTTACGACCTGTGTTAGTCCCTTACAAGGTGGATTCTGAAATTAACCAGTCTCTAACATTACTAATCACACGAAAGTGCTAAAAGTATGTCTTCGGTTAACGGGTCGAGAGAGCTGATGGATAGACGTGAAATCTACATTCTTCTTGTACCCGATATCATTTTAAGGTCCGACTACATGCATCGAATCTTCCTCAGTGCTGTACACATTTACCTTTGCATCCCCAATGTGCATATAGATACGCTCGGTCATGTTGGCAAGCATTAGCCTTGTTTTAGTTAATCTGATCAGAACGTCGAAGTCAGCTTGAAGAGCACTTGCGTCAGCATTCCCTATATTTTCTCATCATAAATTAGCATCGGTGACTCAACGACACTTGGGATTTCACATATATATATATAGTAAAAAGTAAAAAACCTGGAATAGAACTCCGTCTGTAGACCCTTTGGGGCTACTGCTAGTCCCAAACCCGGATAAAGGAGGAGGGGGTTGGGCATGGGGTTGGCGACCCCATCCCAACTATAAACTAACTTGCCAAAAAAACGCTAACCAAAGGAAATAATTCGAACCATTTTAACTCTGCCATGGGAGTTGGAAGAAGAATTATGACGTCGCGTGATGAAAGCCGAGTTCTCTTGGAAGTCACGGCGACCATGCCTCTTCTGACAACCAGAGCAACCACTCGTTTAAGTACATGGAACGTTCCTACTTTGTGGGAGACTGGAAGACTATTTCAAGTTGCGGCAGAAATGGAAAGACACAATCTCGAGGTGCTCGTCGTCGGACACAGGTTGGACAACTGAAACTAGCTTCAGGGTAACTGCTGTTATACTCTGGTCATGAAGAGGAAAATGCTTCACATACACAAGGAGTTGTACTGATGCTGTCCAAACATGCACAAAAGGCACTGATAGGATGGGATCTCATGGACATAGGATCATTAAAGCATCCTTCAAAACAAAGGAAGAGGACATTACAATGAACGTCATCAAAGGCTATGCAACTACCAGTGACTAATAGCGACGTTAAAGATCAACTCTAAGAAAGGCTGCAGTCAATCATCGAGAGATGCTCATCAAAGGATTTGACCATTCTGATGGGAAACCAAGATGCAAAATTTTTGAAGACATCATGGGACGACATGGACTGGGACAAAGGAACGAAAACGGTGAGAGATTTGCACACCTATGTGCCTTCAACAAACTGATCATCGGCGGCACAATATTCCCACACAACGCATACACAAAGGTATATGGATTTCACCGGGTCACACTACTCAGAACTAAATCGACCATATCTGTATCAGCAAAAAGTTCAGAAGGACCATTGAGGATGTGAGAACCAAGAGAGGAGCTGACGTAGCCTCAGATCACCACTTGCTGGTTGCCAACATGAAACTGAGACTAAAGAAGCACTGGACAACGGAGCGTACAACATCACAAAAGTTTAATAGTCTTTCTTCGGGATACCGTAAAACTCAACGAATTCAAGATAGCCCTCAACAATGAGTTCCAGGCCTTGCACTATATACTCAATAGAGAGGAAGCAACAATGGCGAACGATTGGAAAGATATCAAGGAGGAAATCACTTCACCATGTCAGGAGGTCCAGGGTCACAATAATTACCATCACAAGGATTGGATATCTGTTATTACTCTTGCAAAAGTTGAAGAAAGGTGGAACAAGAAGGCAGCAATCAATGTTAGTTATTTTATAACTAATTGTAGTTATGTCATAACTAACCAATCAGATTGGTTAAGCGCTCACCACGTTATCTAGTCTGACCGGTCTATAAACTTTCATTGTTGTGAATGACCTATCGATTAAAGGACGTTATTATTTTATTTTATATAGATGTGACTCACGTTTTTTATACATTTCCTAAAGACACGCTATACTGGCTGGTACGCTTGCTCATCCTACTTGATAATTGTAATTTCCTCATTTATTGTACTAATTTAATTGTTTTTTTTTCTTGTTGAGAAACAGATAAAGTTTAAAACCAAGTTGTCCTGATCTTATCGTCGACTCCGTGAGCACCAGTATTGCGTTTACGGTTTAGAATTACATCTGTAGGCCAAATTAAATCCTACAATCAATGTTAGCCAAACAAGAGCAGAGTAAGTTAAGGCACAACCTGCATACACAGTAGCAAACGGGGAAGTGAAGAAGAGCATCAGAGTCGACAAACGAAAATATGTGGAAGAGCTAGCAATGACGGCGGAAAAGGCTGTAAGAGACGGAAACTTGAGACAATTGTACAAAACAACAAAGAAGCTCGCTGGAATCTATCGTAAACCAGAACGATCAGTGAAAAGCAAGGAAGGCAAAGTAATCAGCAACACTGAAATAACAACGAAATAGATGGGTAGAGCACTTTAAGGAACTCATGAACTGACCAGCTCCACTGAACCCACCCAACATCGATGCAGCATCTAAGGACCTCCCAATCGATGTTGGCGCACCTACAATTAGGGAGATCAGTATGGCCATCAGACAAATCAAGAGCGGCAAACCAGCAGGACCAGACAACATTCCAGCAGAGGCAATGAAAGCAGATGTAGAAGCAACTGCGAAAATATTTCACATCCTCTTCAAGAAGATTTGGGATGAGGAACAAGTACCATCAGATTGGAAAGAAGGATACCTGATCAAAATACCAAAGAAAGACGATCTCAGCAAGTGTGAGAACTACAGAGGCATCACTCTTCTTTCAATACTAGGCAAAGTCTTCAACAGGGTATTGTTAAACAGGATGAAAGACTTCGTAGACGCCCAACTTCGAGATCAACAGGCCGGATTTCGTAAGGATCTATCGTGTACTGACCAAATTGCTACATTACGGATCACTGTTGAACAATCACTTGAATGGAACTCACCACTGTACATCAACTTCATCGACTACGAGAAAGTATTCGATAGCGTGGATAGGAAAACACTGTGGAGGCTTCTTCGACACTACGGTGTACATTAGAAGATGGTTTTCGTCATACGGGATTCTTATGATGAATTCAACTGCAAAATCGTGCACGGAGTACAGCTGACAGACTCTTTCGAGGCGAAGACCGGTGTCAGGCAAGGTTGCTTACTCTCACCCTTTCTCTTTCTCCTGATGATCGACTGGATTATGAAGATGTCGACTTCTGGAGGGAATCACGATATCGAATGGACAGCTAGGATGCAGCTGGACGATCTGGACTTCGCAGATGACTTGGCTCTTCTATCACTCACGCAACAACAAATGCAAGAGAAGACGACCAGTGTAGCAGCAGCCTCTGTAGTATTAGGTCTCAACATACATAAAGGAAAAAACAAAATTCTCTGATGCAACATAACATGCACCAACCAATCACTCTTGATGGAAATGTCTTGGAGGACGTTAACACCTTTACATATCTGGGCAGCATCAAGGTGGATCCGATTCAGATGTGAGGGCGCGGATCGGCAAGGCAAGGGCTGCATTTCTGCAGTTGGAAAATATCTGGAACTCCAAACAACTTTCAAACGAAACCAAAACCAGAATCATCAATACAAATGTCATCTGTATGGAGCGGAACCACGAAAGCTATCATCCAGAAGATACAAGTGTTTATTAACAGTTGTCTTCTCATAATACTTCGTATTCGTTGGCCAGACATCATCAGCAACAATCTACTGTGGGAGAGAACAAACCAGATTCCAGTGGAGGAGGAAATCAGGAAGAAGCGGTGGACGTGGATAGGACACACACTACGAAGAGCACCTAACTGTGTCACGAGACAAGCCCTCTTATGGAACCCTCAAGGCTAAAGGCAGAGAGGAAGGCCAAGGAACACATTACGCCGAGAAATAGAGAAAGATATGGGAGTAATGAACAAACATTGGACA